TATATATATATATATATATATATATATCAATGAGTACTATTTTAAAAAAAATTAATTTACTATAAGGCTACAAAGATTTATAATCAATTAAAATTATTAAATTAGATTAGAATGATGTTTTAATATAAACAATAATTTTTAAATTTTGCTCTAACTCTTAACATCTTATGTCTACGTGATTAGGGTTGTCAAAATGACTCTTTATTCGTGAACAACTCGTATTCGAGTCGCTAAGCAAACAAGCCCAACACGAACACACTTTTTGAGCTCGAAATATAAACGAGCCGAACACGAGCTGAGCCTGGGCTCGCTCGTGTTCCGCTTGTTTACACCCTTAGCTATTGTAGCACAACTACGACTTTAGTAGCCAACTGCAGCTATTGTAACCACCAATAAAAGTTTTTGTAATTTAAAAACCCCTATTTGGTTATATACTTTGGTTATTTCAAGATAGTTGTGATTTCAATATAATTTATTAACATAAGTTCCCTAATGTAGGAGAAGAGTACCTTTGTACTTTTAATTTCTAATGGATTACTTTGATCGAGTTAGATCCATGTTCTTTTTTTTCCTTTTCTTGTGCTTTTTTATGTAAAAATTTTGGTTAGCTAAGGTTTAAAATTATTTTTTGTCATAGAGAATTTTCTTGCACAAAATAGTTTAATGTCATTTGTGGGAACCAAAATCCTTCCTTTTAAATGGTTGCTAAGCATGCCCACAACAATGAAGTCTCCTCCAACACTCATCATTTTAGGGGATGATCTAGAGGTCAGAGACGTCATAACTCTGCATCTTTTTTTCCTGGATATATATTATCCTTCAGTGAATGTGCCTCTTTTTTTCACTTGGAAGAAAGTGTGCATAGAATTGAAGAATCCCAAATCAAGATTCTTCATCTCTTACGTGAGGTTCAATAATTAGCACTAGTGTTAATTGTTGAAACTTACCACAAGATCAACCATTGACTGAAAATGCCCAACTCGAGAATACTCATATTGGGCCCCCTCCTCAACGTGGTAAGGAAGCTGACCTCCTTGACACTACTAGTTCTATACACCCATCTCTCTCTTGGTCCTCCAAGCCAGCAATGTGAGCCCCTAATAAAAATGTATATATGCCACTCAACACATCACATGTTAATATTTTGATGGTCATTCAAGAAGAAAAAAATACTAGATGACCACCTCCATTAAAACTAAAGTTATAGAATTGAGAATAATACTATCATTTCCCTCAAAATTGTGGTCATACCACTGAATTATGCTATTAACTTAAAAAAGAAATTAATTGTCTTGAAAGGGATATTAAGGCTAAATTTATAAAAAATAAACATGATCGATTGGATCATGCCCCCAATAGGGAGCTAGAAACCCAAAAGCAACAACATAGAAGTCATTAAATCCCTTTTTTGAATATAGCTACGACTACATTTATAAAAAAATACAATCCATTTCAGTATGTACCCCAGATTGGAGAAACAAAAAATATTATTGACACCTCAATTTGGGCTTAATTGATCACATGAGACTCAATTTGGCCTCTTTCATATATATTAAAAGTTATTGAACAAATGTTTTGACCAACAATCTAAGATAGGTAAAAAATTTTTGGTAGATTACACTTGAACTTATCCACACAGGTTAACACCTTCAAGCTATGCCCTGACCGACAACCTAGCAAAGGTAAAAAAAAAATCTTGGTAGAATACACTGTACCTCGTTCACAAAAGTTAACATTGCCAATCCATGCTCTGAACAACAACCTAGAACATGTCAAAAATTCTATGGTGATTTTTTTTCAATCTCATCTTCACAAGTTAACATCATCGAACCATACTTAATCAACAATCTAGAATAAGTTAAACATTCTTAATAGATTATATTGAACTCATTCACACATGTTAATGTTGTTAAGCCTCACTTCAATCAACAGCCTTAGATAAAAAATCCTTGGTAGATTACTTTTGACATTGTCCACACAACATTATATCATCGAACAACTCTCCAATAAGCAACCTTGGACAGGTTAGAATTCATTGATGAATTTCTTCTGACCTATATCATACGGATCAATATGTCTATGACCGATTCAAAGCAAAAACATAATAAAATTGAGAGTTTCTCAATCGAGGAGAGTTGCTCGAACTATTTTTAATGGATCAATATTATTATGACTGCTTCAACACATCATCATGTCAAAAACTCTTCTCACCTTTTTGAAATTTGTTAAAAATAAAAGAAAGTCAATTTAAAAATACCTTTAAAGATTATTTACTGAGACTCATCAAATTTTAGGAGTAGATTCAGAGCTATAAAGGGGTGTCTACCTAAAAGGGTTACATGTTAAGCAATTATACTCACCATTAAAGCGAGAGACCATTTGCTCTTATGCATACCTCATTCATTTCATTGAAATTTAATTATTATTGATGAGACTATTAATGCATAATAAAGATACTTTAAATATTCTTCAAATAAACATATGAGTGTTCATGAGAAAATTACTCAAATATATCAACAAAGAAAACCAGAGCAATCAAAAGAACAAGAAGTTTTTTCACTAGAATACATATCAGAAATCTAAGTATACTTCACTAAATACATCTAAGCATCCCTATCGCAAGGGCTTCCAATTTCTCAGAATGTTTAGAAGGTAGGGCTTCTGATTTTTTGAAAATATGTAAGGATTGAATACCTTATATTATTTATCTTGTATTATATATATATAAAGATTTGTAATGCCTAAACTTAAGTCTGTTGACATCAATTTTTGATGATGCAAGTGTAGGATGTCCACTACACAACTCGAGATAGTCTACGGTTCGTCTATGGTGTCCTGTAGTAAGACACCCACCCATGAATCTCTAGCACTTGTTCGAGGCAAGGAGCTAGGGCTGGCAATGATTTAGCCTTACCCATGAGAATCTGCCATCGGAGGGGTTTATTCAAGGTATGGGATATATTCGGCGACTAATCTAGTGGTCAGAAGTCACCACGTGCCCATTTGAAGCCACTCGTGACCAAAGGGATGGCATGAGGCCCCCCTACACGCGTTATGAGAAAGTTAGGGTTCGTGACACCCTACTGGCGCCGTAACTTAGGGAGTCCGTTGACAACGATTTCCCTGGTAATTAATTGATCAAAATGCTCAATACTAAAGTTATGGGAAAAAAATTCACTCATATAGAGTCTATCGTAGCTTAAGGATCAAGAAAATCCTTCATCGAGCACTCCCAATGTAAATTAGAGTTTTGGGGCTATACTGACACAAAGGCACCAACCCCGAGCACCTGGGTGCCCAAAATGCCTTCCCGGACATGTAAAAAGAGCATTTGGAACTCTGGTGCTAGTTTCTAGTTCCAGGGCACCTAAACACCCAAAA